CACAAACAATTCCCGATTTCGTTCATCACATACTCTACTTTGACAACTTTTATACATCATTGCCTCTGTTGGTATATTTGCGAGCTCGTGGAATTTATAGTTTAGGCACAGTGAGAGGTAACTGGGTTTTCAGGAGATTTTGTTGGTAAAAGTACATAATTATATTTTTATTTACAGCTAACCGCATACCAGGTTGCAAGCTACCGACCGACGGCGAGGTCCGCAAAGAGAGTAGAGGATTTTCCACCGAATACATGACCTCAGNAGTACATGATTATATTTTTATTTACAGCTAACCGCATACCAGGTTGCAAGCTACCGACCGACGGCGAGGTCCGCAAAGAGAGTAGAGGATTTTCCACCGAATACATGACCTCAGTTCAAGGAATCGATCTGAATACGGTTTTATGGAAGGATAACAAATGTGTGCGCCTGGCATCTACATATGTTGGTATTGAACCATTTTTGAGAGCCAATCCTGATTTGCAAACAGCGAAGGTGTCCCGATATGATAGTAAACAAAAACACTTCATCGAAATAAACTGTCCGCAAATCATACGGGAATACAATGCTCACATGGGTGGAGTCGACCTGATGGACAGTCTTATGGGTCGCTACCATATTCAGGCTAAAAGTCGAAATATTATGATGCGACTTTTCTATCATTTTGTGGATATGGCGGCTACGAATGCCTATATTTTGTACAAACGTGTGCGTGCTGAGAAAGCAAACGATTCCAGCAATGTATCCCAAGAAGAACAACAATACAACCTTCCGCAATTCCGTGAGGAAATAGCTGCAGGTCTTGTTTCTTTCAAAGAAAAACGGCCTGTAGGTAGGCAGTCATCTGTGCAAGGTATCGATCGCTCGGTATCTCAACAGCCTAGCCCCTCAATAATTGGAAGAAGAGCTGTTCATCAAGTTGATGATGTTCGATTCGATGGCCAAGATCATTTCCCGATTTGGATGGATAGAAAAGGGAAAAAACGGTGCAAATATTGTAAGAAATCAGACACACAAGTCACTTGTTCCAAGTGTGACCTTCATTTATGTTGTACAGCTGATAAAAATTGTTTTTGGGATTACCATCACAAAAATTAATAACTGTTAGGTTATTCCTTACCCTAGTCATGCCTCGAAGTCAAATGAAATTGATTAATTTTAAGAAAATTGCCTGAATAACTTATTTTTCCTAATAAAATTGTTTTAAAAACATGTCTACAAAATTTCAATTTTATTCACGCGCAAACCGGCAAGACCGTCCTGAGACGGTGTTGATTATTTCTCACATAACAATAATTCCACACAAAATTTTTATCTGAAAACCCAATCTTAAGGATATTTTGCCTATATTTACATGCACACAAAATATCAGCTTGATCTGAGCATTTTTACGAGTTTGCCCGTTTGAGGGTTAAGGTCATAAAATTGTTCAATAAAAAGTAAAGGTTAAAAGCGTTTTGAAATATTCGTTGGTATAATAAGAGCAAATAATATATTTCCTACTAGTTTAAAAACATTTTGGTTATGTTACAAACGTCTAAAAATGTATTAGCTGTTATTTACGTTTACAAATTTTAAGACTTTAACACATTACGACGTTTAACACGCCTTGTGAATGTCCCATATATGTTTGCCAATTTAGCTATATCGTTGTATATTTGGGTAAAATTTAAATATATTTCACTGTTCAATATTGGAGTTGGTGTGAAACAAAAATTTACGATTTATTGTTAGTATGCAAATGAGAACAACAATTATCAACTTATTGAGCATTCGCCTCATTTCATTAAAAAACCAAAGACATTTTGCTTGGTAAAATTTTGATTCTAAGAAGAAAAGGTTTTTAAACAAACAAAAAGTTAATAATAAAATTTGAAGGATTTTAGATAAATTTAGTTATGATTTTTTATCAATTTCAAGTTTTCGTTTGGAATAATTTTCATGAACTAATCTATTAAGAGATCTTCTTGGAAAATTACCGTACATCCCATATCTATTAAAATTTTGACATCCTCACTTTGTGGAAAAATAAGTTCAAGATACAAGTTTATGTGCAAAAAATATATTAAACACTAAAAGCCTCCTAATATTTATGGAACTTATAATAGATACCTTTTTATTTCATTGTCCAGACTTTATGAATAGCCTACCCTATAAGTAATAGTAGAAATACCGAATTAGTAAGTTCAGTCAAGACGTGAATCCAAAGATACATAAAATAAATAAAAGCTGTTTTAATTAATATTACACAAATTGTAAACTGTTAAAACTAAGCGCACTTGTGTACGGAGATTTTAAATTCTATTTAGTTCCCAAAATGCCTGTTTGCAGCAGATAACAATAAAAATGCACTTCAACCCAGTGGGAAAAAGTAATGTATAGTGATCGAAAAAATAATCGGTAAAACAGCCGTTTTCACATTCGAAAATGTATTATTTTCCCCACGCCGATGTCCTAGGAAAAGTGGGGAATTCATTTTTGCATTACCAGTAATGCAAGAATGAATGTGATTTAGTATGAAATTTTTGCGAGTTTTTGGATACATTAGAATTCTGATTACATATTAAACAGAAATAGATCTAGAACTCATTAGAAATACATTATATTATTTATCACGCATGTAATGCATTACCACTTTTCCCACTGGAAATTGCTAAGAATGATGAAGGAAATCGATTCAGACATCCTGCTAAACTGGCCCTGCATGCACAAATCAAGCTAAAGTAAATTAAGGGGCTATTAAAGTATTATGTAATTACCAGTGAGAAGAGGGGGTCTTTGGTTTGCTTATTTTTGATGACAAGGGGCAACAATTATCCAAATAAAATATTAATTACTAGGGAAGACAAAAATATGTACAAAAAACTTAATTATATGATCATTAAAATGACTCCAAAATATTAAAAATATGCTTGATATAAATATGCCTCAAAAATTTATACAATCCTTACTAATATTATAATTCCGAAAGTGAGTTTGTTTGTTTGCTACGCTTTCATGCTTTAACTATTCAACCGATCATCATGAAATTTTGTACACTGCTGTTATTTAGCCCAACTTAAAATATAGGATACATTTAATCTCGATTAGGCAAGAGGGCGTGGCACCACAGATACAAACGGAATTTCTCATACTGCATTTCTCAGGAAATATTTTTGGTAGATTACTGGAACTTGGTATGGAGATATATAAAATCATTCTCTACTCATGGATGAGGGCTGCCACCTTTTAAAAAAATCTAATTCAACTTCAATTAAGGAAGTTATTTATTTGAAAATTATATTAAAAAAATGGATGTCACGAGGCTTAAAAAAGCTGTAGTTTAATATATTTTGAAAAGCGTTGCCACCTGTTTGAAAAGTAAAATTTAAATTAATTATACGCAAGCCATCTGAAGAATTAAAATATGGTTGTCAAACAAAATATTGTTAAGAAACCTTTAGTTTTAAGGTTTTGAATAATATTGAAGTCTTTCACAAGGGTTGCCACCTTTTTAAAAATTCAGTTTTAGTTTAAATGAAATATTATAATACTAGCAGACACGGTGAACTTCGTCCCGCACAAAATATTTTTTTATACCCGAGCGCACTTGTGCACATAACGGTTGTTTGTAACAGGCAAAACGAATCGAGATAGATATAGACAAATG